TGCTACGGATTAATTAATAATAATAATAATAATACGCGAAAGGTAACACAAATTCAGATGATAATAAATAATTATACACGTTATTGATAAATAAATAGAATTAATAAAATAAAATAATGAAAATAATGAAAATAAGAATAGATTAAATAAAAAAATAAAAAATAAAATTTAAATTGTCCCGGAATTAAGAATTCAACCAAAAAATCTGCACCAAAATCTAATGCCGGTAACACATGGTAAAATTGTGAAAGAGCAAGTGATACCTCAAACAAATGAAGCATGATTTTTTATGTCGTTGCACATTGTGTATGTAAGTATTAACTTTAAAAGTTGATATGAGAGACACTAACATCTACAATTATCTGAATAATCTGTTTCTACTATTTATATGTAAAATAAACATTTAAAGGACTTTTGTATTGAAAAAATTTTTTGTTTGTCAGCTCAGTTGAAGTCTTACCTAACAGTTCATGATAAATTTTTGTGTTTTTTTGTGAATGAGACTTATGAACTAGAAAGATTTTAATTAGTAAAGAAAAAAATATAGTGAAAAACAAAAAATTCAGGAAACTAACTTTTCATGAAAGAAATTTATACTGTGTATAGCCTCTATACATTTTGGAAATGCTTCAACAGTTCATAGAATAATTATTCCTGTTAATCCAAGTATACATATAACTTCTTCAAACATATATGATACTTGCACCCAATTTTAATGTAAGTTCTAAAAGGAGAAAATATTATGACATTAACAATGTTTATAAACATTCATATTTGGGGCATGCTGCAACAAAACCAGACAAAGTGAACATTGATATTACCAAGGGTTTCAGGGATCAAAATTTAGTCATTCCATCACAATTGTAATGTGATCAGTTTTATAATGTCACATTTGTTAAGTGATATATAGGATTATCTCTAGACAAAAATAGTTAATATGAAATTAATTTACATCAGATCTAGGAGAGGAGATACAGTGTGTAACAAAAAAAACCGGAAATTTTTTGGTGCAATTTAGAAAAAGGATGTTTTTTGTTCT